CGTATATGATGGACGCTGCGAGCAGCAATCGACCTCACGCGAAAACGACCACTGAGGGCGAGACGACTGAGGGAGGCAGTATGGTTGGCACGGTCATGGGCCACTGAGGTCGAGACGACCATTCGCCAAATTGGACGATTTTGGACATGAATTCGAAGCAGGCACGCCTACCATGCATGACAGCGCCACTTCGGACAGCACCAGGGCCCAAATTAGCGTTGGCATCCTCTAATTGCGCACCTCGCAGGACCATGATTAGATAGGGCGTCGGCCTTTTCAGCCTGGCCACGATGTCCTTGTTATGCAAGCCCCACTTTAGTTTCGCGCGCTGCTCGGTCCGACTCTAGGGGCAAAATGTCGGTACCCTTGTACGTGCAAGCGGTTTGGCAAGCGCCCAGATCCCTGACCAGCTTCGCGAGTCCAGCGGGCTCCAAGGAGGCGGCGTGGTCGGTGCCCTTCCACGTGCGGTCCTTGGTGAAGTGGCGCTCGATCCACTGCGCCCCCATAGCGTAGGCAGCGACATCTATGGCGATTCTCAGGTGGTGCCCTGAGAAGCCGATGCACTTGACGCGGAGCTGAAACTTCTCCTGCAGCAAGCGAATATCGAGCAAACAGACGTCCTTGAACGGAACGAGGTATCCTGAGGTGCACTTGTACAGCACTACGCGATTCTTGGCATGGCCGTCCACCTCCTAGAATTTCACGATCTGCTCGATTTCGCCCTTGGTCGTCATGCGCATGGATATGTGGACCTCCCCAGCGTAATGGTCGCGCAGGTATTCCATCATGATCCAGTGCATATGGGATGGGAGCCAACCTTGATCAAGCAAGGATTTAGCTGGACGGTCTCCTTGGCCGAGGTCAGGTCCCAGGTGGAACAGGAGTACTCGATCCCGATCGACTGGCAGTGTTTCTGCAGCTCGCGATGGTCGTCGAGGCCAAGCTCGAGAAACTCGCAGTGCTCCCCATAGGTGGAGCCGAAGGAGTTCTGTGGATTCGGGTGCGAGCGCTGTACTGATCTGGCGTCAGCAGCTCCTTGGGGTACCTCTTCTGGAACTTGCCCACCGTCGCGCTGGCCTCTTTTGCAAGCGTGAGCAGTTCCTTTGCCGTTTCGATCTCGCCTCTGTGATTGCAGCCGATCTCGGCAATGATCTTGGGCTCTCCATAAACAAACTCGAAGAGCACGACCGGGTCGGTAGTTTAGCCCTCTTCTGCGCGGGCTCCACCACGCTCGAATGCACCATTTCTTCGAACCACCAGAGCGCGGTGAGGACAGGCAAGACGGTCTGCCCGTGTCCGAAGCGGCCAGGACTGAACCTAAGCGGCTTGAGCCAAAATGGCTACGGGACGAGCATTCCATATTACGCACAGGTCTGCATTGGCGCTTCGCCCTGTGAACGTTGGCACTTCCAGATTCGCACCACACAGGCAGAGAGAAAGAGAAAGAGACAGAGGGAGAGAAAGAGAGAGAGAGAGATAGAGAAACATCTAACATGATAATTGTGTAGTGCGTGATGTCCCCGTTGCGATCTCGTCGATTTCTTCCTGTTTATCATTGTCCCGTTCCTCCTCGTTCTTCTTTCTCTTCCTCGTTCATGCTCTTCCCTGTGAGCCCTTCCGCGTCTTCCTATTTTTGGAGCAGAGCTTCATGCTTTGGAGGAACCTAGAGGGCTTCTCGAAGCCTTCTTAGGGGCTTCTTAGAGTCCTCTGGAATTGGAGGTCCCTCCTTGGGGCTACATTGCTGCCAACTGAATGATTTGTGGGCCGTCTTCGGGTTATCCGGTCACTTTCTTCAGGGGGCCCTGTTGGCCCGTCTTGGGGAGATCTTGGGGGCCACTTCGACGATCTGCGACGCCCAGAGGAACGGAGAAACGGATATCCCCCAAAGCATGCACACACTATGAGAAACATCTAATGCTATGCTGCTGGAATTTGAAAACCAATTGAGGTGTTCGGGTCGCCTGGAGGTGCCTCGGGAGGCTCTGAGTCCACTTGGGGCTCCCATGAGGCTGCTCGGGCGCCCAACTGCAAGAAGCAAACAACAACGATTACGGGATCCACTGGAAGAGCCAGACGGCCCTATGAAGACTTCTGGGCCATGACGTCGGGATCTGCGTGAGAGCTCTGCTCCCTCGGAGAAGTGCAAACGCCGACACCGATAGCTGGCTCTCGGCGTATCGAACTCTTTCTCGCTCTTCCTCCTCGCTCCTCGCGCCTGTCCCTCCTCGTTGTCCTCGTCCTGCTCGCTCATCATCACTCTCCTGCCCCTCGAGCCTCCTCCTCGCTCGCTCCTGTCGCCTTCTCCTCCTGCTCGCTCATCCTCTCTGCTCTTTGTTCCCTCCTGTAGTGGTGCGTGCTGCGCCTCCTGGAATACCGTGGATGTTGTCTGGGTCGTCTTGGGGTCCTCCTGGAGCCCTGCGTTGGGGCAGATTGGTGCCCTCATGAGCCCCCCCCCCCGGATGATCTTGGACACGCACCTCTTGAATCCGAAGGGACCAGCTTGATAAACAACGCGTGAAGAGATTGGGTTGGTTGCGGATGGATCATGCGAAACGACCGCTTCACAATAAAAGACGTGCCAGTATGTTGAAACGCATGTCTAACACACATAGTACACACATGGTGATGCTGGGCAGTGTGGGTTGAAGGTGCACATCTCTTCGCCTATGTAGTGGTCTAGGTACACTGCGGTGTGGGAACATCTTCGTACAACTTACGAGTTGTAGCACTTTGCGATACCAGTCGTACGGAGCAACGAATGTATGAGGAAGCAGCCGTGCACAATCCGAGGTGTTGGGTGCGCAGGACAACAGCGCGGCCGTACGTGGAGCACTGCATAACTCCGAGACTGTCCCCCCCAGGCAACGTACAGTATGGAGTCGATATGTTCGATGGGCCCTGTAGGAGCGCGTCCTAGGAGCATCCCATCCGAACATCTAACATGCTATTGTGCGCGGGAGTCGTATGACTGCGTTCTTTGGCGTGTTGCGGCTCTCTGCGGCTGGCTTCGGACGTCGTAGTCTCAATGTGGAGCCTGCTGGGTTGTCTTGGACACTCGGCTGAGGCCAACTTGGGCAATGTTTTAGGGCCGTCTCGGGTGTTCCCGGGGGCCTCTGGCGCTGAGTTGGGCTAGCGTGGAGGTTTCCTCAGGGCACGGGAACGACACACGGCTCTTTGAGAACTCTCTGTCTGAGGCCACCTTGGGCAAGGTAATGGAGCACGTCGAAGGATGCCCAGAACATGAAGGAGCCACTGGTCTGGGTCGTCTGGGACTTGGGCGCTTTCTCTCTTGGGGCCCGCTTGCGGGCGGCTGGGGCCCGCTTTACGTCACGTCGAAAGGCCTAACACTCATGGGCCTCTCTTGGGCCGTCATGTGGCCATCTTGGGCCGTCTTGGAGAGCCCTTGCATCGCAAGGGGCTCATTGAGGCCACATTGGGCCGTCGCGCGGCCGTCTTCGGGCACCACTGGGCGGCCTGGGGGTTATTATCCACGTGGAACAGATGCTGTTGTCTGGGAACCCTTCGCCTCCCGCCCGCGCAACTGCCACGCGAACCCCGCGCGAGGCCGCGCCGCTTTGCCCACGGCGGCCGCGCCCCCTCTGAGGGCCAGCCAAGGGCCCAGGGAGCCTGAAGGACCGACTCTTGGAGCCACTCTCTGGGGAGCGACCCTTGGACTCCTTGGAGAGACTATCATGATGATGCTGATGATGATGGTGATGACGATGACTGATGGTGACGACGATGGTGGTGATGATGATGGTGATGATAGTGATGATGATGATCATCATCATGATGATGAGGATGACCACTTGTTCCTCGACATAAGGGCGAATGACGATAGCATGATGATATCCTGAGGGCGAAGAATTGCAAAGCCCGTCGCAGAGAGGTTGTCTCTCGTTGGACTCCGCACGGGGGCGACGCTCGATGGGTGCAGCACAGGGGGAGCAAGCATGCCAAAGAGCGGTGGGATGATGCATGCAGAAAATACGTTGGTTCCTCATCTGCGGCGAACAAGGCCTCGCGGAGATAATGGTGATGATGACGGTGATGATGAAGAAGATGATGACGGTGAGGATTGGGACCAGCGTAAACCCAAGACTCATCAACGATGTTGCAATCAGCCCTCTCTCCGAGCGCCCTCTTCAAAGGCCCCATACAAAGATCTATTCTCACTGAAGGAAGTGCACGGCTTGAAGACAACAGTCTGAAAGCAAAGAACTGAGCCAACACACCATGCCTAGGACTTCAACGCCGCGAATCACCGTTACCGTTGCGTCCTGACGATCCTCAATGGTGCCACAAGACCATCCCTGGGCCTTCACCACTCATCATCTAACGTGAGTGCTACGCCCTGACATTCCGACATCGCGCCAAAACACCATTGATGGGATATTAACCATGAGGATTCCTTGGAACTGCTGCAAACTCTGAAAAGCGAATGTGTGAGGCACCGAGGCGAGAACCACATGTTGGAAGCGAACCGCCCTCCATCCGCGAAGCTGCTGCAAACTCTTAAGACGAACGCACGCGGCGCAAAGGCGAGAACCACATGTTGAAGCTGGCCCGCTCTCCATCCGTGAAGCTCTTGGAACTTGTAAAACAAATGTGTGCGGCGCTAAGGCGAGAGCTATACTTTGAAAACGGCCTGCCCTTCATCCGTGAAACTCTTGTACATTCTGGCGAAAAACGAATGTGCGCGGCGATCAAGCGAAAATCACATGTTGAAAGAAACCCGTTCTCAATCCGTGAACCTCTTGTTGCATACTTTGAAAAGTGAATGTGCGCGGCGCTAAAGCGATAACCACATTCTGAAAACGACTCGCCCTCCATCCGTCAAACTATTGAACATGTCAAGCTTCAAAATCACACATTGTGAGGAAGTCTCAGGCGAAACGCCCGGCCCGCCCTTTTGCCCGACCTCTGAGTGCGACAGGGAGGAGTTATTCAACAAGAAGAGGGATTGATGGCGACGACGACGAGGATGAGGAGGAGGTTGAGGCGGAGCAGGAGCAGGAGCAGGAGGAGCAGGAGGAGCAGGAGGGGACGACTCTCGGGGCGACTCTTCGGGTGGCGGCGGCGCCCGACGCGCCCCCCCCACCCCGTTGAGTCTGGTGGCGGCGGCGCCCGGCGCGCGCCCCGCTCTCGAGCCGAACCCTCTCAGGTCCGCACGGCCCGCCAGCGGCCGCCTCACCGCGAGGGTCGGCCCCGCCGTGCCAGGCGTGGCGGCGGCCAGGCGGCCGCGGCCGCGAGCGCACCCACCTGCAGCTGCAGCTCTGCTCCTCGGGGGCGGGCGAGGGGGAGGATCACTACAGCCAAGACGCTGAAATGAGTAACAGTTCGGGTTCGGAAGGAGCTCCGCTGTTCCCTGGGTCCTTCATGATTGCCCCTCGAGCGGCCCTCGTGCATCCAGGCGGTCTTTTGGATCAAAAAGGGGCCGCGTTCTTCACTTAGCGTTCCTTCTTTCAGAAGCCCTTCTGTGGAGGCCTCCCACATGGGGACGGAGCAGATGAGGTGGGAGGATCGCGCCGCATCGCCGATGCATCGGCAATGCAGAGCAATCCTCCGACCCCTTCTACTCGGACCCCATCTGGAAGGCATAGGATCACTGACCAATCACCCAGGCCCACGAGCGGGCAGGCCACCATTGGACAGCCCAGCGGGGGCTTGAAGCCTTTGTTTATGGGGAAGAGACCTTCACGTTGGGAGAGACCCGACTCGTGGCCTGTGCAGAGAGCGAGGACAAGGAGGAGGGCCAGGCGAGGGGCAGGGAGTGGAGGGAGCGCCCGGCCTACTGCACGAAGGCTGCCAGCGGCTGCAACTCCGCGCTGGCCTGCGCTAGCTGCGCCAAGGCCGGCCTCTGCGCCTGCAGCGCCGCCCGCACGGCGCCGTGCAGGTCGGGCACGTCCGGCGCGAGGCCGGCGGCGGCCCCGGGCAGGTCGGTGTTCCTCAGCTTGTTGAAGGACACCTCGTAGTCCAGCCCGGCGCCGCCGTCCGCGGGGGCGCCCTCGTTGTCCGAGCCGTCCTCGGCCGCGTCCTTGGCGGTCGTGGCCGAGTTCAGGCCCAGCAGCGCGACGAAGGCGCTGTAGCAGCCGGAGAGCAGCTGCGGGTTCTGCGACACCTCCGGCACCCCAGTGAGCTTCAAGAGCCCCATGGCGCACACCTTCCGCTCGTCCAGACGCAGGGACATCTTCAGCGCGGGCAGCCAGACGGTGGACAGCAGGTTGCCCAGCAGGCCCGCTTGGATCTCCCCGAGCAGGCCTGGGACCACCGCAGGCGCCGTCCTATGGGCCAGCAGGGACATCGAGACCGCGAAGTCCTTCCGGAACTTCGGCGACTTGCTGCTCTGCAGCCTGGTGAGGATAACTGTCAGCAGGGTCTTGAGGAAGCCCTGGTACGCCTCCAGAGGCAGATTCAAGTACATGGCATTGATGAGGTCAAACGCGCTGCTCTCCGTCTTCCTGTTGCAGAGGACCAGCTGGAACCGCTCGAATATGCTCTGCATGTGCGCGGTCAGCAGCTGAGCGAACGTCGCGTGCTTGGCGAAATACGCCCGGAACAGTCGGATGAGACCCGGGACGTTTGCCTGGGCGCGCCACAGGTCGACAGCGAGCAGCCGCGCGAACAGCTCCTGGTAGAGTGGCTTCACGGTCGGCGCCGCGTCCAACAGCAGGCCCAAGATCTGGAACGTGTACGGCAGGAAGTCCGCGACGTTCTTCTCCAGGATCTGGCCGCACGCTGGCAGGAGCACGGCTTCGACCGCGTCCGGCTGAGCCGGCACGCAGACCCTCACAATCGACGCGATGGCCTCGAAGAGGTTGTGGTTGAACACTGGGTTCATGGGGTTCGCAGCGTGGGCCATCAGGATCGAAGACAGCGGCCGGAGCGTCGCGAGACCAGCTTCTGCGCCCTGCTGCTTCAGGAACGAGAAGATGCGAGCGACCGCCCTCATCAGATACTCGTTCTGCTGGATGCCCTGGGCCTGCGCGATGACCTGCAACATCGGCTCCACGGTGCCCAGCAAGCTGGCTTTCATGGACGCGGCGTCGTATCGCAGCGCCGACGGGCCCGCAGGGGCGCTGCGGTCGCGCACCGTGACCAGCTTCTCGATGCAGATTGCAGCGTAGGTGTGCACCACGGGGCTCGGCGACTTCACGTGGGCGCAGATCGCCGCCAGCACGGAGCCGACCTTAGGGCGATGATGATGTCATGATAAGGATGGTTCAGGATACGTTCCAAGATTTCTAGAGTACCTAGCGGCGCAACTGTTGCGGAACGTTCGGAAATATGGGAAATCCTGGAAACCTGGAAAACCCTGGAACGTAATTATCATGACCTCTTGCTCCTCTGAGACCTGCTCGCGGGGCAGCTGGTTCCGGAAGACCGTGACGAACTTCAGGCAGGAGGCCCGCAGGACGGGGCGCTGCGACAGGGGCTGCTCGGAGCGCAGCTCGGGCGCTACGAGGCCGCTGAAGAAGTCCAGCACGTTGACGTTCGCGTTCGTCACGGTCACGCCGTCTCGCTGCGTCTGGCCGCGGACCGCCATGGCGATGCACAGGTAGATGCACGCGTCCTTGAACCTCTCGGCCTGCTCTGGCGCCACCTGCGTGGCACGCGTCATCAGCTCCTTGACGTAGCCGATCAGAATCTCGGTGACCTTGGCTTCGTGATGGGTGCCCATGGCCTTCACCAAATCCATCGAACTCCGTCTCCTGCTCTCCAAGTCGGCAGCCTCCATATCTCTTCGGACATACTCCAAGGGGTTGTCCTCAAACAGCTCGATGTCCGAATCGCGGAGGAGTATATTTGGGAACACCACCTTCTCGCAGATGCCAGACAGCACGGCAGGGTCTGCGAACGGCGACTGCTGCTGTGGCCAATTCGTTGCAGATGCCGATGACAGGAATCGAATGCCACTGCCCACGAGCTGGTCGTTCATCTCCTGCTGGGTGAGCCCCACGAGGAGCGTCCACACCGCATTGACCACCGGCATGAGGAACGGCTGGAACTCCTCCTGGTACTTGTCGGTGTACAGCGCGAAGCACTCGCAAATAGCACCCTTCAGCTGCTCCAGCGGGCCCTGCTGGTCCCCCTTGCCAGCGACAGCGTCGTGCTGGAACTTGAGGAGCTCGAGGAAAACCTGAAGGTAATCCTTACTGTGATCCTCGAAGAACTCTGGCAAGTCAACCACGATCAACGAATGGAAGACACCGATGGTGCTGATGAGCAGGTCGACGTGGGCGGCCAACTGATCCGCGGGGAGCCCCGGGGCGAGGACCCGCTCGCAGGCCGCCTTGAATACTGCCAAGTGCGTTTCCTGGAACCCCAAGACCGTGTATTTGATCTCCTTCAAGACTGCATCGCTCCTGCACTGCGACCGAAACTTAAGAAATACCGTGTGCGCGGTCTGCATTGCGCCCTTGAGTACGTTGATGTCCTGGGAGGCCTTGAGGTGCTGCACCATCTCTGGAAGCAGAGACTGCCACTCCCCTGGGTAGTCGGTCAACGAGATCTCCTCCAGGCCGGCGGAGAGCTGGACCTGGACGGGCTTCGGCGCCTGCAGCATCAGGGACAGCAAGTGCTGCTTGATGGCCTGCCTGTCGGAAGCGGAGACGCCCGCGCCGGCCACGCCTTCCACGGGCCACTGCCGCCGGATGTAGTTTTTGAAATAGATTGCACCAGCTTGCCTGACAGAGGGGTCGATGTTTGCGCCCTGCAGCATCTGCAGCAATATCAGACCGAAGCCTGGCGTGATCTCCGCGGCCCTCAGCTGCTGCTCCGCGGACTGCATGGCCTGCGTGTTGCCGCTCACGGTCTGCGCCAGCAGCTGCCCCATCTGCGCAACCTGAGCGGGGTCCGCCATGCCGCCGAAGCTGGGCCCGCCCCCCCTGGGCGCGCCCCGTCCCGAGCGACCCTCCACGCGCCCCAGGCCCCGACAAAACTGAAGCCGAAATGGCTACGGAGGGTCAGCCAACGCCGTGTTGAGGCCCCTCGGAAGCCCCCTTCGGGACCGCCCTGGGCTCATCGTGGACAGTCTTGGGGATATACTGTGGCGTTGTGGGCCAGGCTTGTGGCGATAATCGTACATGTTGGGCCGTTTGGGGCAGTGGAAATCCGAAAATCCGCCGACCCTGTCGGCGTGTGTGAGGGGCTGTGCCGTTCGCCGTCGTCGTCGTCGTGGCAGTGCTCTAGCGGGCTTGAGGGAAATCGACCCATGTCGAGGGAAGCCCCTTCCCTTTGTCCCTTCCCCGGCGGGAGGGGGGGGGGGAGGGGTCATGGGGGGGTCCCGGGGGGGGATCCCGGGGGGTCGCCACCCAAATACGCTTTCACTCCCAGCGCGCTCCCCGCGCGACTGGCACGGTCCCCGCGCGGTTCCGGAACCCCGCGCGGCTCCGGAAGCTCACAGACATCCCCAAGGTGATGCCACGAGCCTTTCAAAATACCCCCAGCCGTCCAAGACTCTCCCACATGATGCCAAAAACAAGCCCTCGACGACAGGAATCTCCCGAGCCGTCCACGGATGCCCCAAAGAAACTACAGAAAACGGCCCGAAACCTGAGGAAATCCAATGTTTTTGGCTTTCTCGCCTACTCGCTTCCGAAGGGCTCCGAGGGCTGCGAAAGGCGGCGAGGCGGGGCTCCGCCGCCGCCCACCGACGGGCAGTCAGGGCGCTCGGGAAGCCCAGACCTCCTGCGTCTTGAGAAGATCGGTTCGGTTTTTCATCACGGGTTCGGTTTCGAGACTCCCCGGTCCCCAAAATGGCCCCCGGAGGCCGAAAATGAGGAAAGACTAAGCATGTAGAACAAGTCCCCCTCCTCCTCCTCCTCCTCCTCCTCCTCCTCCTCCTCCTCCTCCTCCTCCTCCTCCTCCTCCTCCTCCTCCTCCTCCTCCTCCTCCTCCTCCTCCTCCTCCTCCTCCTCCTAACTCTGCGGACTCCGAACCCCAGGCTCGAGGATCGAGGCTTTCTGGCGCCGCCGGAGCCCTCGCTTCGGCCACCCTCCCTCCTCCTCCTCCTCCTCCTCCTCCTCCTCCTCCTTCCTCCTCCTCCTCCTCCTCCTCCTCCTCCTCCCCTCCTCCTCCTCCTCCTCCTCCTCCCTCCTCCTCCTCCTCCTCCTCCTCCCCTCCTCCTCCCCTCCTCCTCCTCCTCCCTTCCTCCTCTCTCCTCCTCCTCCTCCTCCTCCTCCTCCTCCTCCTCCTCCTCCTCCTCCTCCTCCTCCTCCTCCCCCCCTCCCCCCCCCCCCCTCCTGTTCCTCCATCTCCACGCTCTTCCTCCTCTCCTCCTCCTCCTCCTACCTCCCTCCTCCTCCCTCCTCCTCTCCTCCCTCCTCCTCCTCCTCCTCCTCCTTCTCCTCCTCCTCCTCCTCCCCCCTCCTCCTCTCTCCTCCTCCACCTCCTCCTCCTCCTCATCATCTCATCATCCTCATCATCATCATCATCATCATCATCATCATCATCATCATCATCATCATCATCATCATCATCATCATCATCATCTTCCACGGTCTCCGTCTCCGCCCACTTCGTCGCCGACGTCGTGGTCCTCTACAGGGTAGGCGGCACCGGCCGTGATGCCTTCGCAATATCATCAAATTGAAATTGGTGTGGCCCAACCCTGGGATATACGATGGGGGGGCGTCTATCCACGACAGGGGTGCGTCCGCCCCCTTGGGGTGTATCCCAAGGTTTCCCCATTTTTCCGACGGCCAAGCTTTTGAGGCGAAACTCGGGGATTGGGAGATGAACATCGCCTGTAAGACTGTGCCACGAGATGAACCCCGCAAGGAAGACGCAACCGCGCACTCAGCCGTCGAGGGTCGCAAAATGCCTCGCAGTCGAGACAAGATGCCAGGTCACCCGGCTCACTGCAGAAGAGACGGAAGCGGAACATGTGTTATAAAGGGGCAAGTGGCGGTGTCTACGATGCGGCGGGCTCGAGAAGCCGAGCTGGAGCTGGCACAGCCAGGGAGTGTCAGTCCGAGGATGCCGAGCCAAGTGTGTCGTCGCGCTTCTCACCGGAAGCGGGCACCCTGGGCGAAGGATCGACACGTGCAGGGACAAATGCGCCCAATTTATAAGCTCACACACGTACACTTTTGCCAGCGAAGCGGATGCTGCTTCGTTCCCATAAGTGCGCACGCACTCCCTACAAAACTACAGAGGCGTAAACTGCTCCTGCAAGTCTCCAACTATTCCTCGAACGCTCATCTGGCCACTCCCCACAAACCGAACCGATCTGCTCGACCTGCCTACCTGCGTGCCCGCGCCTGTCCACTTCTTAACTGTAGGGTTTGGTGGCTTGGCTCTCGGTGCCGGCTGCCACGGCCGCCCGCGCCCCTAGCAATGAGGAAGGGGATGCCCGCCAGGGTCGTCGCGGCGTCCGACTTATCCAGTGGCCTCTCTTCCCGCCAGGGATATCTATGTCCAACGTCGCTGCGACCTCCTCCTTACTTTCCAACTGGAGTTCCCGAAGCATCCCTGCATGGGAGTTTCCTCTTCGCTGCCGACAGGTTTTCCTTAGGTGTCGATGCCATGCGACACACGACCGCCTGGCAGCGCGAGGCCTCCCATCCCCGTCGCGCCAGGGCGCAATACCCTACCACCACCACCACCACCCTTCCTCAAGCAAAAATTGCTTTCGCTTTGCGGGCCGCAATCAATCCGCGCTGCACCACTACTACCACCCTGTTCTCCCGTCGTGGTCAAATAACCTGTGCATGCACCGACTGAAGGCCCCTGGGGGCCCCCGGGCGGAAAGTACCCCAGCAAGGTCCCGAGAGAGTCCCGGGAGGAGTCACCAGGGCGCTCCAGCAGCGCACCAACGCGGCTCCGAGACGTCCCCGAGAGCCCCAAGAAGGGCCAAGAGGCTTCCAAGAGGCCCCCAAGATGCTACATGAGGGGTCCGAGATGCCACAAGATCGCTCCAAGACGCCCACGATGGCCCCCAGACGCCCCAAGAGGCCTCCAAGAGCACTCCCGAGAGGGCCCCAAGAGGCAAAATTCACTGCTTTTCCTTAGGTTTTGGAGAGATTTTGGCGTTTCCACCTTTTCGGCTTCACGACACCCCAAGACGGCCCAAGAGGCCCCCAAGACCGCCCCAAGAGGGCCCAAGAGGCCCCCAAGAGGGCCCCAAGACGGCCCAAGAGGGCTCCAAGACGGCCCAAGAGGCCTCCAAGACGGCCCAAGAGGGCCCCAAGAACGCCCCAAGAGGGACCCCAGGGGGGGAACACGAAACAATATTTCGAGCCCTCGGCCCTCAGAAGTCCCCAGGAGGCCCCAAGAGGCCCCTAAGAGGCCCCAAGAGGCCCCCAACAGGCCCTCAGGAGGCCCCCAAGAGGCCCCCAAGCGGCCCCAGGAGGCCACCCAAATGCCCCCCCGAGCACGCAAGCAAGTGCCAGCGACGCTACACTATGGGCCGGCGGAATGAGCGAAGCGATTCAATAACCTGTGCATGCACCGACTGAAGGTACAACTCCCGTTCGGATTCCGAGACTCTTTTCTGAACGGCACGTTAGCATACTATTCCTATGTGTGTTTCGGCCGCCTCGAAGGCGACCGCTGTGCACCATGCTTCACAATTGATCCGACCGCTGCACAAGCGGATTGTCTCATCGCCTTCGTTCATCTTACATCGACAAGCTACCAGCACGCTCCAACTCCCATATCACGCGGGCCGCCATCTTCACTAAGATAATCAGCTTCGCATGTGTCCACCGCGCCCCCAAAGAAGAGTTGCAATAAAGGATACACGCGACGTGCATCTACCAGCCCCTGCCGCGCACCTGTAACCGCTGGCCCGCCAAACCCTAAAGCGGACTACTCAGCGGACCCATGCGCCCTGCATCTGCGAGCACCTGTCGTAGGGCGTTGCTGACTACTCATCTCAACCTTTCGGCTCGCCATATCGGAACAGCCTGGTCTCTCCCGTGCCACAGACGCCGCTCCCCGCCCCCCTCCGTGCACACAACCCCGACTGGCCCTCTCCGTGCCTCTCGCCGTCGTGGCCGAGGGGCGTGCACCACAGATCAGTGAGGACGACGACTCCCCTTCCGAACGCAGCACCAGGCGGGTGCAGCCTGCTCTCTCGCTCTTTTGCCCTGAGAGCAACAAGCATGCTTTCCGTGCTCGGGTCCCCCGCGTCGATTGCGATCCCCTTGCCGGCCTGCGCCCGCAGCTCCCTGTACACGCGCCCCTGTCCCAATCCTTGCCTCCAGCGTGCCCCGACGCGTGCGAGATGATGACGCCGTCCCTGCTTCAGGCTTCGTCCGTTGACGCGGTTTTGGAGCAGCCGCGAGGTTTGCGACAGACTGCCCCTGGCCCCCCCGAGCGGGGGACCAACCCGCTTGAAAACTAGAGAAGCGAACGCAGCGCCTCGAAACCCTCCATCTCCTCCAGATCCCAACGCTCCTCTGACCATCCGCTTCAAACCGAACTCGCCTCCTCGAGCTGATTATGTACATATTCCTTCTACAAGCCGAACTGGCATCCTCGACCTGACTTTGCACATTCCCGCGCCCATCGGTTTCCTTCGAAAGCGTGGACAGCATTGCGGGCGGCATTCAGCCGTTCGCTGCCGCGGCCGCTCCCGCGCCCCAAGCAGTTGGGCAAGGGATGCCCACCAGGGTCATTACACACACACGCACATACACACACGCGCACACACACACACACCACACACACACACGCACGCACGCACACACACGCACACACACACACACACACACACACACACACACACACACACACAAACACACACACACACACACACACACACACACACACACACACACACACACGCATGCACGCACGCACGCACACGCACGCACGCGCACACGCACACGCACGCACACGCACACGCACACGCACACGCACACGCACACGCACACACACACGCACACGCACACGCACACACACGCACACACGTACACACACACACACACGCACACACGCAGATCCTTTTC